AAAAGGATTTTTTTTTTTTTTTGAGACAGAGTCTCACTTTGTTGCCCTTGGTAGAGTGCTATTTCATCACAGCTCACAGCAACCTCTAGCTTTTGGGCTTAGGAGATTCTCTCGCCTCAGCCTCCTGAGTAGCTAGGACTATAGGCGCCCATCACAACACCCGACTATTTTTGTTGTTGTTGCAGTTTGGCTGGGGCTGGGTTTGAACCCACCACCCTCAGTATATGGGGCTGGCGCCCTACTCACTGAGCCACAGGTGCCGCCCTAAAAGGATTTTTTTTCTTCTGGGTAGATGCCTAGTAATGGGATTGCAAGATCAAATGGGAGGTCTAATTTGAGTTCTTTGAGGATTCTCCATATTTGCTTCCAAAAATATTGTATTAGTTTGCAGTCCAAGCTGTAGTATATGTATACCGTGGAATACTATTCAGTCATCAAAAAAGATGGCAACTTTATATCTTTTGTGTTAACCTGGATGGAGTTGGAACACATTCTACTTAGTAAAGTATAAGAATGGAGAACCAGGGGGGAGAGGAGGGGAGGGGTGATTGGAGGGATCACCTCTATGGTTTATCTTACAAGGGTACAAGTGAATCTTTCTAAAAGTAGAATATAGATGTCTTGACATAACAACTAAGAAAATGACATGAAGGCTATGTTAATCAGTTCGATGAAAATATCTCAAATTGTATATCAAAATACCACACTGTACCCCATGATTGCATTGTTGCACACAGCTATGATTTAATAAAAAAAAAAAAAAAGCAAACAAACAAACAAAAGAATGGAGAAGCAAGAATCCAATGTACTCACTTCTAATATTAAGGCAGTAGATGCGCTAATACAAGGGGTGTGGTAGGGGAATGAGGAAGTAGACAGGGGAGGAGAGAAGGAGATGGGGAGGCCACCATGTATGACACACATCTTGGGGGTGGGACACAATTATAAGAGGGACTTTATCTAACAAATGCAATCAGTGTAACCTAATTATTTGTACCTTCAGTGAATCCCAAACAATAAAAAAAGAACAAAATAATAAAACTCCACAGTGCCAAAAAAGAGGAAAAATTAAAAAATAAAAATAAAATTATTGTGGTAATTCAGGAAAAAAAATTATGGATCCATTAGCTTTCTAAACATTCCATTTAAAAAATGCACAGGGGGGAAAAACAATCAAGCATAATCAGGCAAATTAAGAAGAAAAATAGAATAATAAGAGGAGACTAATACTACCATTAAATAAATTGTATCATAACAGTATAGTAATTAAAACAAGTAGGTATAAGACAAGAATAGACAAAAAGATAAATAAGATAAAGTGCCCAGACCAAGAAACATATAAATATAGCAGTTTAGTATATAATAAAATCATCATTTCAAATAATTGGGAAAATGATGAATTACTGAATAAATAGTACTGGGACAAGCAGCCAACCAGCTGATAAAAATTAATACTAGATCCCTAGAGACTATCACAGATCAGAAGAGAATAAAGAGACACGATGACTAAATGTAAATCCTGGACAAGAAAACACATTAGCCAGGCACAGAGCTCACACCTGGACTCTGAGCACTTAGGAGGCCAAGGTGGGTGGATTCCCTGAGCTCACAGGTTCGAGACCAGCCTTAGCCAGAGAAAGACCTCGTCTCTAAAAATAGCCAGGTGTTGTGGCGGGCACCTGTAGTCCCAGCTACTTGGGAGGCTGAGGCAAGAGAATTCCTTAAGCCCAAAAGTTTGAGGTTGCTGTGAGCTCTGACATCACAGCACTCTACCAAGGGTGACATGGTGAGACTCTGTCTCAAAAAAAAGACATTAAGGGAAAACAGACATTAGTGAAATTCAAATAAAATACCAATGTACCTGTGTTGATCCCTTAGTTGTGACAAACGTACCATAGTAAGATGTTAACAGTGGGGAAAACTGAGAGGTAAGTGGAAACTCTCCTGTTTTTTCAACTTTTCTAAAATCTAAACCGGTTTTAAAATAAAAGGTTTATTTAAAAGAAAAATGCTGGGTTCCTACTACTTCTTGTACCAAAATTTATTCTTGGTTGATCAAATAAATCATATTAAAATATGTAAAGGTACTAAAACAACTATATAGATTACAACACATAGGACAAAGTGTTAACATCCTCAGGATGCTCTACAGCATATAGGCTCTGAATCCAGACTACCAGAGTTCATATCCCAATTCTGCCAATGACTAGTTGGATAATCTTAGGCAAATTACTTTTTCTCTTTCTGCTTTACTTTCTTCATCTTTAAAATAGGGATGATAGCAATACATACCTCATTAAACTATCATGAGGATTAAATGAACAAATCTAGGTAGAGTGCATATAGCAACACTTGGCACACAGTAAACAATAGCAATTATTATTGTTACTTAATGTAGAAGCTTTCTCAAAATTTAATAAGAAAAATATCAACGACTTTAGAGAAAAACAGTGCCATAAACGGACACAGGCATAAGAAAAAAAAATACATCTAAACATATAAAATAAGTTCAAACTCAAATTATTAAAAACACATGAGTTAAAACATCAGATACCATTTTTCACCCATTCAATTGGCCAAGATATAACATTTTGATAAATAACAATATTGGACAAAGTATGGGAAAACAGGCACTCTCATACATTGCTGGTAGGAGTATAATTAGAAAAAACAATCCCAGAGCATAATTTGATAATATCTTTTATTTCTTGAATGTTAAACCCTATAATCCCTGTAGTGCCTGTGCTCAGTGGTTAGAGCACCAGCCACATACACGGAAGCTGGCAGGCTCAAACCCAGCCTAAGCCAGCTAAAATAATGACAACTGTAACAACAACAATAAAAAAAAAAAGGGCAGCACCTATGGCTCAGTGAGTAGGGCACCGGCCCCATATATGGAGGGTGGTAGGTTCAAACCCAGCCCTGGCCAAACCACAATAACAACAAAAGAAACTAGCCGAACACCTATAGTACCAGCTACTCAGGAGGCTGAGGTAAGAGAATCACCTAAGCTCAAGAGCTGGAGGTTGCTGTGAGCTATGACACCACAGCATTCTACCAAGGGCCACAAAGGGAGACTGTCTCTAAAAAGAAAAAAAAAAAATAGCAGGGCATTGTGGTGGGTGCCTGTAGTCCCAACTACTTGAGAGGCTAAGGCAAAAGAATCACTTAAGAGTTTGAGGTTGCTGTGAGCTGTGACGCCACAGCACTCTACAAAGGGTGACATAGTGAGATTCTGTCTCAAAAAAAAAAATATATATATATATATATACATGTATGTATATATAGCTGGACATTGTGGTAGGCACCTGTAGTCCCAGATGTTCGGGAGGCTGAAAGAAGAGAATCACTTAAGCCTAAGAGTTTGAGGTTGCTGTGAGCTATGACACCACAGCGCTCTACCGAGGGTGACATAGTAAGACTCTGTTTCAAAAAAAGAAAATTTAAAAAGAGGCACAAAATCCATTAACTATGTAAATTAATATAATTCCAAAGAACATGTATACATAAAAGTTCACATAAATACAGATAATTGCTGCAAATGTATAGACAAATTTCCAAATGGTTGCCTCTGTGGGAAAAGGCTTTTTTAACTATACTCTTCAGTACAGTAGGACTTTATATATAAGTGTAACTAGCACGCAACTCAAGAAACAGAAGTGCCCACCCTCTGCCTCCTATACCTACTCCCAAAGAATAACTAGTACCTTGACTTCTAACAGAATAGATTGCTTTTGCCTATCTTTGCACTTTAAAAAGTAATATAGGGTGGCACCTGTGGCTCAGTGGGTAGGGCTCCAGCCCCATATACCAAAGGTAGCGGGGTTCAGGCCCGGCCCTGGCCAAACTGCAACAAAAAAATGGCCAGGCATTGTGGCAGGCGCCTGTAGTCTCAGCTGCTTGGGAGGCTGAGGCAGGAGAATCACCTAAGCTCGAGAGTTGGAGGTTGCTGTGAGCTGTGATGCCACAGCACTCTACCAAGGGCGATAAAGTGAGACTCTGTCTCTACAGAAAAAAAAAAATATAAAAAAAAAAAAAAAAAGTAGAAGTATAGGCTTGGTGCCTGTAGCACAGTTTACAGCGCCATCCCTATACACCGAGGCTGTCGGTTCAAACCCAGCCGGGACTAGCTGAACAACAATGACAACTGCACCAAAAAAATAGCTAGGCATTGTGGCAGGCACCTGTAGTCCCAGCTACTTGGAAGGCTGAGGCAAGAGAATCACTTAAGCCCAAGAGTCTGAGGTTGCTGTGAGCTGTGACGTCATTGCACTCTACCGAGGGTAACATACTAAGACTCTGTCTCAAAAAAAAATAAAAAAAAAAAGTAAAAGTATATAGTACAGAAAAAATTAAGACTGAAATTCTATGTCTTATAATACTCACCATAATCTTCTTATATAAAGCCATGACATTATCATCATCAAATGGTAGAAATCCACACATAAGTACATATAAGAGTATACCCATGCTCCACACATCAGCCTATAAGGGAGAAAAATAAAAACACTCAAAAATTCAGAACATATTTCAAAATGGCAGGACATTTAATAGGATTACAGAATCTTCAGAAAGCTAGAAATAGAGATCATACACTTCAACCTGCTCATTCTATAGTCAGGAAACCTGAAGCTCCAAAAAGCAGGCTCATCCAAAGTCATGACAAGCACCCTGGAAAGCCTCTTGATTTCCATCAATGGCAGGCACCCCAGAAAGCCTCCTGATTCTAGTTCAGTGCACTTTCCTCTAGCTGGACTCTAATATTTTATAGGAAATAATTTCCAGTTGGCTAGGCTGGATTTAGAATGATAGCAAGATCAGGCCAGGTCTCTAATTTTGAAAGACAATTCAACAGTGCTACTAAAGGTTTAGGTTACATATGAGGATTATGTAAACAGGCATGAGGATGTCAAACAAGTCTTAAAATGTATTGATCATCTGCAAATATGGTTAAGCTGCACTGTAAAATCCTCTCTATGTAGAGAAACTTTAATAAAGTTCAATGATTGGCTTTTTAAATATATAGAGGCTAGAAATTAGCCTGCCAGCACTAATAGTCCTGCAAATCTCAAAATCCCAGAAAGAAGCTTAACCTTTATATGGAATATCCATGTATCCCAAGAGACCAGAGCAGTAACTATTTATTCATGCAGTATTTGGCCTTAGTCAATAAGGATGCCATCATTAGCTAAGGAGAAATCACAGTTCTCACCCTCATTTGAGCCAAAGGAAAATTTTAAGAGGCAAGAATAGGATTAAAAAAAAAAAAAAGCGTTTATATAACTGAAGCAGCATCACACATTTAGGTAGCACCTATACTAGGTAACCCAAATCTGATTCCTACTCTTGAATATAGAATCATCTCAAATTATTAGGATTCTATTATGATACCTCAAGTGAACAATTTGCTTTGAAGCAAACACCTGATTTCCATTCCAAGCTGCAAGAGGACAAAAACTGCCTCAGAGATATCAAATATTTAACCCACAACTGAGGTATGATGTTGTGGCCCTCGTGACCAGGATGTGAAATACAGAGAAAAGAGGCTGCACAGGAAAGAGTGAGCTAATACAGCCTCATCAAATACCACATGACGATAATAGAAATTATATCTGCTGTTTAACTAAAAGATGAAGAAAATTACAGTAATATCCCCATAGAAATCTATCAGAGCATACTAGAGAGATGAATGCAGAAAATGTACTGTTCTACTGCCTCATCAAAGCACCTTTACTTCACTGTTGTGAATGTTAGAGAATAAATTTATCAACTAAAATCATAAACCAAAGCAAATGCAAATAAATAATCAATTGATAAGAAAAAAATGATTGGGGGAA